CCACAATAATAATAATAATAATAATAATTATTATTATTATTATTAGTAGTAGTAGTAGTAGTAGTATTACTATTATTAAACATAAAGACAAATGACCAGTTTTTTATTGTTTATATATGACTTTAATAATAATAATAATAATAATAATAATAATTTATTATTATTATTATTATTAAACAAGAAGTGTTTCATGAAATGAAATGACCAGTTTATTTGAATTGTTTATATATGAGTTTAATAATAATAACAATGATAATCATATTTTAATATTTCTTTTATAAAAGTGGAATGCCATTTTGTAGAAAAACCCCCCAAATCCCCCCCCCCCCCAAATCCACAAATGCATTCACATATATCTTGCAATGCTGAGTGCAAATGCAAAGATTTATTTGTAAAATTAGAAACAACAGATAAAATTAATGTATTTTTGGATTGTACATATTTGTTTGAGCAATTTTGAATTGCCCTTGCATTAGTGAAAATGTCTGATACAGTTTTAACTACATAATAGTGGACCAGTGTGCCTCCAGCTTTTATTTTCCCCTCTATTCAAACTGTGCAGAGACCTGGCCTGTGCTGAAATGTGTAGAGTTTGACTTTAAGCACCCTGGAAGAATAACCCCCCAAATCACCCCCCCCCAAATCCACAAATGCATTCACATATATCTTGCAATGCTGAGTGCAAATGCAAAGATTTATTTGTAAAATTAGAAACAACAGATAAAATTAATGTATTTTTGGATTGTACATATTTGTTTGAGCAATTTTGAATTGCCCTTGCATTAGTGAAAATGTCTGATACAGTTTTAACTACATAATAGTGGACCAGTGTGCCTCCAGCTTTTATTTTCCCCTCTATTCAAACTGTGCAGAGACCTGGCCTGTGCTGAAATGTGTAGAGTTTGACTTTAAGCACCCTGGACAGTTCCACAGCACACGGTGTGCTCATCTCATTGCAGTCCTGCCTGTAATGCTACTGCTGATATTCCTGCTACACAATGCGGCCTCTCACACACCACAAGCTCTTCTGTACTTCCTAATGCCATCTTGATTTAGAAACTGCTTCAGTCCAGTTCTTGCCCCCGCTCAACTTTGCACGCGCAATTTGTGGAGTTATTTGCGTATGTTTTCACAGAGGTTTGGCCGGCGAACACTTTTTCATCTGCACTGGGTTTTACTTCCCCCGTCTCTTATCTTATCCTGGTTCTTTCTCTCTTCTCTCTAGAGATTAGAGAATAAAACAGCACCCCCTTTCCCCGTTCTTTCTCTCTCTCTTTCTAACACACACATGCTCCCTCCCCCACTGATAGGATCTCTAGAGGATGGAGTGGATTAATGACCTCGCTGGAGAGGGCCAGAGCTCTCCAAATCACCCGCTCATGATCACTGTGTGTGTGTGTGTGTCTGTGTGTTGTTTTACACTGACACATACACTTATTTCTACTATATATATGCAAGCAAAACCAGTCGTACTGTTGCATTGAATTCAACCGGCTGAAAGCCAGACCCGTTCAGCCATGAATTCAAGCCGATCTGAGCACTGCACAGAGCTGTTCTTGTCTTCCTTGTTAATTATATACACCGGTCTCCTGCTGTGTATTTGTTTGTCTCCGCAGCAGTTTCCTCTCTTCCTGTGACAATATTTAACAGACCTCCAGTTCTCCCAGTGGAGAGCCTGTCCCCTTCCCTCCGCTCCGACTGCAGGCTTCAGCAGGCCCATATACGACTGTGATAGGAAACATATGGACAGAAACACACTACACGATCCGGCAGGCTTCATATGAGCAGCTGTAGTTAGTGCTGCTCGCACTATTGCTCTATTGCTTAGGGTTGGGATTTGAAGAAAGCTCTCAGTATTAAATGTGTTTGTGCTACATGAATGATACTTATTTGCTAAGCAGACATGATTTTCTTCTTGTGAACAGTAAAATGGGCAAAAAATGTATGTAGATGGGCACTGCACGAGGGACTGAAGTCATATCTAGAGACCAGAATATTGTAGAGGCTTGACGGTGGTCTTTTTTAAGCAAAGAATCATTGAAACCACACAGAATACCCTAGCATCCACGTAACAATGTGCTAAAAATTACACCGAACACCTTGCGACAGCAACCAATCCACAACATCTTAACTTTTTTTTTTCAATTATTTTGTTTATTTGATAAATAGGAAGTTCAATGAACAACATTTATTTGAAATAGACATCTTTTGTAACTTTATAAATGTTGTTTGAAGAATTAATTTTCTTATATTGTATTAATATATATATATATATATATACACACACAGTAGTGTTGGTTAATGTTAATTTACGCACATACTACTATATTATTATCATTATTATTTAAAGTTGTATAAATTAACATTTGTTAATGTATTATGAAGAAACATGAATTAAAGATGAACAATATATTTATAAATGACCATTAACCTAGATTAATAAATGCTGTAAAAAATGTTTTCATTATTAGTCTTTGACACGTAACGCATTAATTAATAATAACATATTTCTTAACTGCATTTCCATAACATTTTTGCACCTTTCTCTTCTGTTTGCAGCCAAAAAAGCAGCCGATGGTTCTGTCATCCCGAACGGCTACTGTGACTTCTGTCTAGGAGGCTCTAAGAAAACAGGCTGTCCTGAAGATCTAATTTCCTGTGCGGACTGCGGCCGATCAGGTGCGACCAAGCCCATGTAAGATCCGCTCGGAAATGGGATTTATTAATTTTCTCAACATATTACCTTCTTTTTGGGCTCTTCCAGGTCATCCGTCGTGCCTGCAGTTCACGGTCAACATGACGGCGGCAGTGAGGACCTACCGCTGGCAGTGCATCGAGTGCAAATCCTGCAGCCTGTGTGGAACATCAGAGAACGATGTAAGTCAACTGAACCAAGCAACTTACTTTTCCAGTGCAATCTTTGTTGTGTTTCTGAACTGTTTAATCCAAGGCCCCAGCACTGGTGTTTGGGGACATGTCCATACAAGGATCAACTTGCATTATTTTTACAGGATCAGCTTTTATTCTGTGATGATTGTGACAGAGGGTATCACATGTATTGTCTAAGCCCCCCTATGTCGGAGCCTCCGGAGGGTATGTGCTATGTGTTTTACATTGATGTGTTTAAAAATAAAATAATAAGAAGAAGAATCATATTCTTAATCACTATTTTTGTACTTGTAAAAATGCATAAAAGAGTTACTTTCATTTATATTCATATAAATATATATTTATTTTCATATAAATTCATATAATATCAAATAAATGTATAAGTATACACACACACTCACAAGTATACATACATATATAATATTAAGAAAATAGATAGATAGATAGATAGATATCATTTCAACATTTACTAATATATAATATATATATTAGTGCTGTCAAAATTAGCGATGAATTTTTTTTAGTTTAACATGTTAAAAATATTAAACGCATTTAACACAGTGGGGGAGCTAGGGCCACCCCACTCACAACTGCTGCTTCGGTCTCTTTTTTTTCTTGACAAGAATTGCGTTTATTTAGACACAGAACTGTCTTTATAACCACAACAAATGGGAGAATTTTCAGACGTGCACTACAACTTCACCTCAGCGCCAGACGCTAATCAAACGAGCACGGAAACGGTACAGGTGATGAGGGAGCTTCTAGAACAACAGTGAACTGCGGTCAGATGAGATGTTGTCAGGCCATATGTCAGTAAAAACTAATTTTCCTGTCCTGTCAGCCGTTATACGGTGCTCGTAGCATGTGCTCTTCAATTGCACGCACAAATGCGGCTGCGCGCGCTGTAGCCTGTATCATTTAATATTAAAGCGCAAAACAAACTACGAGCATGCAATGTCAAAGTTATGTCGTCAGTTAAGGCATGAAGTTACCAAAAAGGCGATTAAAGCTGCCTTAAAACTGTGCATGTAAGTATTTGTTATATATGAGTCACATTTAAGAACATGTCTTTGAAATGCAGTGGTTTTCAAAACTGTCCTGGAGCAACCCAGCACTGTCTCCCTCATCTATAACACCCCCGATTCAACTCGTCAGCTCATTATAGAGACTTTAAGAGCTGAAGTGGGTCAGAAAAGGTAAAGAGTTGTGAGAAACTATGATGCGTGTCAGATCCCCATCATGTTCAGCAGCAGAAGCTCTTAAAGCAGACAAAATAACCGAATAACCCAGCTGCTGTGATGTCTGTTAATAAAAGAAAAAAGAGAAAAT